AGGAAGAATAAAACAGACAAAAATATAACATGCACATTAATAAATAAGGTAATTATTACAAAGGTGAATAAATAAAAAGCTAGTAAGAGATATATACATTTATGTCTCACTGTATAATTGAATTTCTAACTAAATTTATTTATTTATTGTATTTTTGGGGGCAATTAATTTTATGTTTACTATTTATTGAGCATTTATTTATTTATTTTTAGATATGGTAGAGCTGGTCCTCCATAATTAGATGATGATCGATAAATAAAAAGTAATAAAAAAAATAGATAGTGTGATATTAAAATAAGTCGTGTCCAATAGTTCCCTGCATTCACTCCCTTAATTATCATAGTCTGTTAAGAGATACTAAACTGGTCAAAATCAATAAAAAATGGATCAGAAAAACAATCTTTGCAAACAAAGTGTAATATAGTCTTCAGAAAGTATAACACTGAACTACAACTTTGGTTTAGCATTTTTTTCCAAATTAAAACAACATGCTATCAGTTAGGGCTGCAACCAACAATAATTTTGTTAATATATTGATTATTTCTTTTCGAATAATAATCGGATAGCAAAATTTCCTTAAAGAAGATTTTTTTACTGAATTTAAAGGAGGGGAAACAGATTTTTCAACTTGAGGAGGTTTGGATAGAGCACACTGATAGATTAAGAGTAGGGCTGCAACTAACAATTATTTAGCAAATAATTTAATCTGTCGATTATCTATGGGGCTGAAGAGGTTTTTTGCTGCATACCTCATGTGGCATTTCTATGAAACATCAACAGTTGCCAGACGACTGGCGAATCAAAGAAAAAAATGTATATTGCATCAGTTATCTCAGATTACCCTTTTTTTTCAGGCTTTTGATAACTTTATACGTTTGGTAATAAAGAACAGGGGATTCAGATGTGAGCTCTTCTACTTGGATCCAGGAACTGAGGTTTAAGACTTAGTCAGATGATTAAAGCGTGCAAAAAATGAGGAGGATTTCACTCTTACATTCCTAAACAAGAGATATCCTAACATTTCACCATCTTCAAGAACTTCTCTTTGTAGCTAAAGTTTAAACATCAAGCCAAAGGCAAAAGTTTATCAGTTTAACTCACAGTAATGTGGCCAAGTGGTCAGAACTTCTTTCAAGTAAACTCCATTAACCAAGTTTCTAAATGTTTGATAAGCATCCAGCTCAAATTTAAGACCTCAATTTATGTTAATTTTACAGAATTCAGCCTGAGCATAACAAATACAGTCAAAACCAACCAAAAGTGATGATCTATGAAAAAGCAGAAAAAGAGAATTATGTGCACGCATTAAAAGTAGCACTCCAGCTGTGAACGGACAAAATGCAGTCGAGGTAGCCAACAAGCCGCACGGCTGCCTTGAATCAATTAAAAGATTAAAGGGGAGATACCAAGTCTCTTACATCAGTTTGTTACATAACTAATACATTAAACATCAATGCAGAGGCAGAAGCTTCAGAAATTAAAAACAAACAAACCCTAATGTTAAATGATGAGGAAATGGTTACCAGTAACAATGACAATAGAGGTTTTAAATTGTTGCGGTTACAAAACCGCTCAAATATGACACTTTAATGTTTTAAAAAACCTCCTAGAATGACCATAACTTTCCCTGCCTTTATAGTGTAGACAAAAATGGCACTGAGCCCTCATCTACCAACAGTACCTGTCAGGTAATTGTAAGTTTTCCCCTCATAATGATAAATATGGCTGCATTATTAAATGATTGCAGTACACAGAAAAGAGATAAAGCATTGGAAGTCAGAGTAAATGAGGGTCTGCCCTCAATCTATTAAATTTTCATGGTTTAAAAGGCTAGCTACCTAAGCTGATTGGCCAATTCCTAAAGCTGCTTATATGTCTACTCCCCAATATTACTCTGTAATAAGAACAACAAAAAGGAATATTGTTCTGTCAAATAAATGTTTAAAAGTAGGGGTGTCCAGATCTGTCCAATATTAGCCAAAAAACTAATAATTATATCAGCCTGCATCTAAAATCTCAGAGTGTCATACTAATAGAAATACACTACTTCTGTTTAAAGTTTCTGTAACTCATTGATTAACATTGCGTGGGTCAGTTACTCTCATACTTATTGTTGTGGACTGTTGTTCTCTGTTTTAACAGTATCACTTGATCAAACCTTTATTGGTTTTATACATTACATTATAATACATTATATGTATTGGTTGACTTTTAGGTCAACCAATACATATAATACAAAATAAGGCATTAAAGCATGTATAATTGGTGCTAATATTGCATCGGGTCAACATCTTTATGGGTCTGAAAGCTGCAATATTGGTATCGCATCAGAAATTAAAAAAGTTCTATTAAAGAGTCTACAAATTAAATCTAAATATTTATTCGAGAAAAAATGTAAATATAAAGAAATGATCAGTACTGTGGGTTTCTTAATTTTGGTTGATATGATTTAATTTATATCTTCATATCAATAAAAGCCTCAAAAAGACTGCCAAGAATGTCCAAAACAACCTGCAAAAACTTATGAGAAATATGTTGTTGTGTTCAGTCCTCCAATATAATATTTTAGAAATATTCGCTTTAAAAAACAAAACTGTAAACACAGACTGTAAAGTATAATGAATATTGGAAAAGTTATATCACTGTATTAAAAAAATTGTATTTTGATTTAGATCCATATAAGACTAATGCCCACTTCTTAATAGTCCTGACTATAACTTTATATTTTCCATTTGATGAACGGACTGACACCTTAGTAGTTAAGCGCCGTGCCGTCAAGCAAATTCATATTTAACAAGTCCAATCTAGCAAACAATTGTAGATGCCCGGAAGCAACTGGCATCCAGCTCAAATTCATGTAAGGTGAAAAAAGTAAAAAAAAAAAAAAAAAACTTGTGACGTACGAGCTGCGAGAACGAGCAGAAGAGGGATCCAGTTCTGTGCTTTGGCCACAGGTGGCAGTGTCATTAGAAAACCTCATCATGCCTCTTTAAGTAACAAAAAATCAATGATGATTAAAATATGTGAAACGCTTATTATTCCCAACATGTACAACAGTCATCTGAATATGAGTTATGTTGCTCTGAAAAGACAGAAGCACTGTCACGGCTTACACATACACGTATACATAAAAATTTCACATTTAAAAAAGCGTTCCAATTAAAGAGAATGACTTTCCAGCCAAAGATGCAAGTAGCAGTTATCATTTCTGGAGTGCTTCCAAAATTAATAAAAACTTCCAAAACAATGCAGAAGCTAAAGAGATTGGGGTACACTTTTACATTTATAATAATATTAATTAAAAAAAATCAGCTCTGAAATGGAGAAAAATAAAGATATCCCAGAAAAGAAAAGAAAAAGTGTAATTATTAATGAATGGAATTATGAGATCAAATTTCACAGGCATCTATTTAAAACAAATATAATACCAAAAAACTAAAAGGCCGGAAATTTTTGAAGCTTTGTAACCACAACCTGAATCTTTGGTGTACCTTTACAACAATACCAAAAATGTGCCGAGTAAAGTTCATGAAGAAAAAGAAAATAAGGATAAAACTTAAATGAATAATGCTAAAATGTATGTGTTTTGTAAATTGTAGATTGCAACATACAGTGAGGAATGTTCTCCCACTTACAAATCATGGAGGGGTCTGACATTTTCCATAAGAAGCATGTGAAGGTTCTGGCATGGCCTACCCAGTCTAGAGATCTAAACCCAATGGGGAATCTTTGGAGGGAGCTCAAACTCTCTGTTTCTCAGAGACAGCCCAGAAACCTGGCTGATCTAGAGAAGATCTGTGTGGAGGGGTGGGCCAAAATCCCTGCTGGAGTGAGTGCAAACCTGGTGTAAAATTACAGGAAATGTTTGACACTTATGTCACTGCAAACAAAGGCTAGTGTACTAAATATTAAAACTGATTTTCACAGCTGTTAAAATAAGTATCTGAGGCAGTAGTATACAAATAATAATAAAAAAAAACATTGTGATTCTTTTTCTTTCAAAGTGGACATGCACTAAGATGAAAATGTAGGATTCTCGATACTTTTTCAATGCAAGTTGGGGAGAAACACAGACCTCGGCATGTTCAACTAACAAAAAAACAAAAAACAAACCATAGTCCTCAGAGAAACCTGAATCAGATATGTGCCTTTAGACAGAAACATAATCAGGCTTTTAATTAAATATTTCTCCAGTTGCTTCCTGGATTCTTCTCTAACAAGCAGGAGCATTGGAAGTCAGTCGTCATTTCTGGGATTCTTGCTGGGAAATAAAGGGCTTTAAAACTATGGGACTACTGAGAGTATCATCATGCCTCTTTGCTCCTCAGAAAACCCAAATTTGACTGATGCCACAAAAAATAAAAAAAATCTTTCAACTAACAAAAACATCTATCTTGACAAAAGGGGGCCTTAAAAAGTAAAAAACAAAAACAAAACTGTGCCACAAGGAGAAAATTTCAAGACTTAAAAGCAGAGGCAAACATGAGACGAGAAAATAGATGACAAACAATGAGCTGAAGAAAAGTTTGAGAAAGTAAAGAGAACAAAGGAAACATATGGATGTAATTGAGGGTCTATGAAGTGCTGATGTCATCTTCCAGTCAGGTTATCAGGCCAGAGGCTAAAACTGCTCACCAACCCAGAGAACATGCTTTTCAACTCCCGAAATATGAGAGAACAGCAGAAACACACAACGTGTTACAGCCCACATGCTTCTACATGAGCCAGTCGGGGTTCAGGCTTAACGCAGCATGCTTTAGGTGTTTGCTTTATCTAATCTGTAAACAGAAGGCCCCATCCTCTTAAATGTTAACTGCGGTTAAAGATTTTCTTTGCATGTGCATACACACAAGCCCATTCTGTCCTTCCCATTAGCCTCTTTGGCATGGCTGTACGATGACCTCATCTGTGTTGGGCTGTAGTCCAGAGAAAACACACATGCCCACACACACACACAGAGCACTAGAGCCTGGGCAGTCCCATATAAGGATATGCTGATGATGTAATGGGCGCCACAGACTTGCTGCGAGTGAGAGTCAGTTTGCAGAGAACGTCTCATAATGTTTGGTTTTCCGGATGGAATGTCCACATCATCAGGAAAACGGCATATTCCCAGGACTTTTAAGAAGGAAAAAGGACGACTTCTTTGTGCAGGTATGAAACAAGTCGAACGAAAGTTATTAAAAGCTGCTAACTTTGATTATAATTTCAAGAAAGGCTGAAATATGCTGCTGACAAGTATTAGCTAAAGAGTGTTTTACAAAGTTCAAAGAGTTTATCTAACAGGACCCACATTTTGTAGTGAAACTTAAGCTGTCGCTAAACAACATTTTTTATGTAATTAGGGAATTTAAATGTTATAATCTGAGCTAATTTAAAATCCTGTGAACTTTTTGGGAAGTTTCAGCTCGCTTTGCATTGAGCTACTTAAAACATTGTTGCCTTACTTTTTTGACCAGCCCTGCAATTTATTTAGCAGACTTTTGTAAGCTTAGAAAAATAAGTGGCATGTTTTTAAAGTACAAAGCTGAATTGCAGTTTTTCAATATACATTAAAACCCCAAATGTGCACACTTACATTCTTCATTAACAAAATCAGGCAAACATATAAAACTACATATCAGCGCTTTGCTGAGCTTTGGAAAGCTACCGGTCCGAGCTCAGGTACAAGGCTTAAATGCGAGTTAAAAGATCACAACGGTCTTCCTTCTCTAAATTGTTTTGTGTGCATTTATTTTTTCAAACTTTCTGGTTGGACTCCAAATTCAATTCTAGTTTGCATCCAGGGAAATGTGGAGGACTGACATCTATTGACGAAAAGTAGCCAGTTTGTAATTACTTCAAGGACGATGGGGAATTCCTGCCTCTCCGTGCTGCAAGTTTGGTAGCGTTAGAGATGCACAGAGGGAGGGAGGCTGGCTGCAGTGCTGTGCGCACTTCAGAGTAGAACAACTTCTTAATTAACTAACGCTCCCTACTAAGGGACCATCTGCCATGTAAGCCAAAAGATCCTACAGATTACATGCTCACTGGAGAGAAATACCCCAAAGTAAATGAACATGCTGAGGTAACTGCTTGGTCTGTGTGCAATGGGACATAAAAAAAACCACAGAAAATAAAAATCAGGCTTCTGCAGATTTTTTAACCATTAGCAAACTTTCACAGAGTAATGGGACATTTTAGGCCATCGGGCTAAATATAAGCACACTGCACCAGGAAGAGTGTAATTCTATGAAGACAAATTAGCACCATATAGTTATTATCTTATCATCATGGTAATGATTAAAGCTTTCAGAAAGATCATCTATTAACTAGATGAAAGGTTATTAATTAAGTAAAGATTTGGTTTTGATTTGGCTCTCTGGCTTAAAGGGGAACGTCGTGTTTTTTTTTTTTACATTGGACCCTCGATTTTACGTTATTACATCATGTTCTACTCACCCATATTAGTTTTGTGTCATCTGGAGCTGTTCCGAAGATATTCAGTTTTTTAATCCAAGTAACGTCTTCCTATGGGCAAACGACTTGAAGGCACAAACTAAACTGTTCATAATTTATCATTTATGGTATGCCAGCATTCATAACATGTAGGCGAATCACTGTCCCCCAGACATCCGCGGTTATAATTTTTATATTTTTTAAAAAGGAATCAAGAAGTTAAATCCAGGCCTTACAGATACAATGAAATATGAATTCATTGTTTTACACTACAAAAGAACAACAGTATTAGACCGTGGAAGGTAATGAACTCAACAGTTATTCCAAATTATAAATGTTAAGATACGTTAGATTAGGGCTGGGCGCTAAACCGAATATTTACCGTTACCGTCATTCACTACGATAACCGGCGACAAATTTCCCATGTATGTAAAATAAATGTACTTAATTCTGCTGTTTTCAGCTGTAAACAAAATTACATCAATTAATTCTGTGGAGCAGAACGAGAGCAGAGATGAAGCTGAGCGCACAGAGAAAAAGTCGAGATTGCGTTGTCAGATTTGAGCGCACGGCAGACCGGTTTTAAACAAGGGTGCGGGAGTTTAAATGATGCATATTGTTCTCACTGCTCACTCAGTTGGGTGGCACTAAAATTACGCCATAGATGTTCAGCAAAAGCACAGGAAATGCAAAGCTTGTCTGAAAATTGTTTGGACTACCCAAAGTAACACATCAAACCTCCACCACCTCCAGCACAACCACGCCGTTGAGTGTAAAAACGAGCGAAAGGCTCCATTACCTTTGCGCAAAAATGTTTGTTAGAAAGTTAACATTTTTCTCCTGTTCAATTAGACATTATTGACTGTTTAAACCTGAATGAGTACAAGACTTTAATATTTAATTAAAAGTAATATAGTAGAGGAGCTGGAGCATTTATTGTGCACTTATCGTTATTGAGGTAAAACTTCCCAATTTATCATGATATTGATTTGAGGTCACATCGCCCAGCTCTACATTAGATTCAAACTTCAAGGTTTTTATACCGTTATCATCTGATACCAGTATATGCCTTGCCTACGTACTGGTAATTGGAATGTCTGAAATATGTGTAATTTTCTCTCTACAGACTCAAGCTTTTGTTAACAGAAGAGAAAAGATACCACAAATTCAAGAGGGAGAAAATGAAAGAGAAATATCAACTTTACAAGACGAGTTAACCTAGCTGAAGGTTTTTGTCTTGCTGCTTGCTGCAGAGAAATATTAAACTGCAGTGGTGGACAAAATATCAAGTGTTCCACGACCCCCACCGTTCATACTGAGAGGTGGCTCATCAATGATCAACGTAGTGTAAAAGGTACCGCTTACATTTCTGAACTTTCAGGCTGACAATTTCAATACAGCAAAAGAAAACCAACAAAAATAGCATGACGGCCCCGAGCTTGTTGACTGAAGTGGAGGTCCTGAGGAGGAGGGTGTTGGAAATGGAGGGGAAGGACGAAGAGCTGATACGAATATCGGACCAGTGTCAAGACCTTGACCGCAGACTGGCAAATGAGACCAGGAACTGCCGGGGTTTGAAGTTTGAGGTGGATAAGCTCAACGGTAGAATCTGTGAAATGGAGAGGATGGAGGGGGCTTTGGGTAAAAACAAACAGGATTGTAGTATCCTGAAGAGCAGCTTGGAGAAAGAGAGAGAGTTCAGCAAGGTGATGTCTGGGGAGCTTGACGCTCTAAGAATTAGGGTGAGAGAGCTAGAGGCTGTTGAGGGTCGACTAGAAACAAGTGAAATGATTGTCAGACAAGACCTGGGCAAACTCCGAGCCTTGACTGCGGCTCTGGTGGAGGACAGAAAGACTATGGCAGAGAAGCTCCGACAGGCAGAGGAAAAGATGAGTAAGAAAGAGTGCAAGAGAAATGAGCAGGGTAATTTGGCAATGATGACAGAGAGGCTGCGAGAGGAAAAGCAGCTGGCACTAAGATCTAAGGCAGATTTAGAAGAGAAGATTAAGAACATAATGAAGGAAAAGGATGAGCTCCAAGACAGACTGAAAACAGAGGAGGATAAGAACAGGGAGTTACAGAGTAAAATAACCACAATGAAGAAAAAATTTAACCTATTTGAGAACAGGAAAGAAAAAGAAGAGAAATACACAAGCAACAGCGCTCATTTATGCCAAACTGAGGACAATAAAGTTAAAGAGCTGACTAAGGAGCTTGATGAGCTGAAGAAGAGACTCCAGAACAAAGAGGTCTTAGAGGCAGAACTATTGAAAGTAGATGGAGATATTGAGGCTCTTGAAAGGAGGCTTCATGATGAAAGGAGGAGGTCACAAGCCTTAGCGACAGAGCTAGAGGAGGCAAAGAAGGAACTTGCCAGCTACAAGCATGGGGAAAAGGAGGAGGTCAACAAGGAGCATCTCCTTCTTTGCCATCTTCAAAAAGAACAGGTCAAATCCAGACTCCTAACAAGAGAAGTAGACACCCTGAAGGAGAAACTCCAGAAGCTGATGGGGACAGAGGAGTCAATCTGCAAGGTCCAGATGGATCAATCAACACTGCAGGAAAAACTGACCCAGCAGGAAGCCAAGAACAAAGAGCTGGCCCAGCAGATGGAGAAACTGACAAGTGAGCTCAGCAGTTATAGACAAATCAGGAACTGGACATCTGTTGCCAATAAACACTTCCCAGACCTCCATCAGACCACCAAAGAAGTGCAAACTGAACCTGAAGAAAACCTTGTTTCCAACCACAACATGCAAAGTAAGAGACTGAATGAAGGAAACTCTGCCAAGAACCACAATACTGAGGTCACAAATAGAGAAAGCACTGTTGCCAGCTTCGACACAGCAAACAGCAACACCAGCAGCTGCTCAGAAGAGGATATGCACCAAACTGTTAACGGAGAGGTGATGATGCTGACACACACACCAGGACAGCCCTTGCAGATTAAAGTCACACCGCATCATATGATCAGCACAGCCATGCTCGAGATTACCAGCCCTTCTGGAGATACCAGTACTGCCAGCACCCCAACAAGTGCAGCATCCTCAAAGCAGAGAATCACCATCATCCAGAGCTCAAGTTCCCCCGTAATTAATCCTAAGAGCCCCACTTCTAGTCCCGACCGCACCCTCTCCCCAGTCAATGGATCACCGATCTCCCGGGTGTTAAGTCCAAAATCATCCCGCTCTGTTACACCCGACAACAATTCACCCATTCAGATTGTTACGGTCAGAACATGTTCTCCTGAGCCAAGAGAAGTTGCAAATCCAGCTATTTTCTGCAAGACACCTGAGAGGTCGAACAGTTGGCAGCGTCAAATGTCCAACAGCAGTGATGCAAGTCCAAGTATCATCACAACAGAGGACAGCAAGATCCACATCCATCTTGGAAGCCCCTACATCCCGCCTCTGAATGGTATGGCCCAAAGCATTCCACCGCCTGTTGGGCCATACTACCTTCGGCATGAGCAAAGGACTCAAGTGATCACCAACGGATGTCACGTGAAAGGTGTTGGAAAGATCACCAGCAGCATCACTATATCCCCTGCTAATGCCCATGCATCACACTCAAACATCACTTTTAGTGGTCTTTGTGATTAGGAACAAAAATGAATTTACTGCACAAACTTTTTATTCACATATAACCATTGTAGTAACCCAGATGTGCCTTTCGTTAAACTTATTTACTTCTATGTAGACCCTTTAAAAATATTATAAAAAATTAAACTGGTACACCTGACAGTATATCAATATGTAATGAAATGGTTGTTAACTTTGTTAATTATTTTCTTGAATTAATTCACTTTTGAGCACTTTTCAGAGATTTTCTAGCCTTTTTCTTTAATGCAGAGTAAAGTCAGTCAAGTTAGAGATAAAAAAGCAAGAGAATTAAAAAAAAAAACTATTTTTTAATGTGTAAGAAAATAAAAATGTGAATGAAAAATGTTTAATAGTTTGATTTAGAAGGATTAATCATGGGCCGGTTACTGGAATCAGCATTTTGAAAGGTTTAGTAAAACCACAAACATTCTTTTTTTTTTTTTTTTTATGTTCCCAAAATGTAAAGCTTATTCAATGAAAATTCAGAGAAAGCTCCAGAGGAACCACACTCTTCTGGTTAACCTGTTGCTGAGCATTACAGGTTAACCAGCTGAATAAGAAAAGCTTTGTTTTTACCCTCTTCTTTTTATTCGTTATGCTTTTTTACAGCTACATAACACTTTTCCACTTGAAATGGACAAATATAACCAGGACTTTACTGAAACGGTATCTGGTAGAAATGATTTGCACAGATACCAGTTTTGCTTTGTGCTTTTGTTTGTCTGTGATTTGATATGATGAACAATTTATTGACATTTAAACAACTGCTGCCTACCCATTTAAAATAAAAGCAATACGATGGTGTTATACATTTTTGGCTTCAAATGTTTCTAAATATGAGAAAAATTCTGGTATTTTCACTCAAGGTTGCTACAGCTTGCGTATTTCAAATATTGGCAAAGAGTCAAAAATACTAAGGGAATTAAGAATACCATCTATGATTACTATAAAGAGAAACTTTACTAACAGGTTATTTTGAAGTATTTGTTTGAGTTTCTTAACTACATTTTAAAAGAATTATACCAAGAAATGAACGTGTATAATGTCTTTACATCCTCTAAATAACGCATAAAAATACAACACATTTATGTACAATGATGGGGATATCCCAATTGCAGCTTAACTTTATGGTCCCACAACTGTGATGTTAAACTTGATCGGGAACTATTAAAACTAATTTTAACAATAAAAACCTCAATACATAGTGATGAAAGAGAGCAGATATACAGAACTTGATCTCAAACTTTAACCTAAAATACCGGTAAGTAAAAACAACACGGAACAAAAAAGATTCATCAGGTCAGGAGATTTGTTTCTATTTAACCTCATATTAGCACTGAAATGCAAGCTAAAATTAGTCATGGCTTTAAAGCAAAGTAACAAGCACACCTGTTAAAACAAGTGAAAAGGGATTATAGTTTAACCCAAAGGAGAACCAAGTAAAAGGCCTGATTCCTGAAGTGTGTACTAAAAAGGTTAGATTAATTAGATTTGTTTAAAAAGTAGTCACAAATTGTGTTCTCTAAATTAAAACGCTGACATCAAAAAAGGGAACAGCATCTGGAGAGAATATGCTGATTAAATCTAGAGGAATATACCCGCCCTGATGTCATCAGTTAGCACGCTTGGCGTAAAGCATTTGTAGGCCACTTAGGTGAAGCTCTTCTTATAATCTCTGTTATCAGAGTGAACATTCACATCAGTGATAACCATACAGGGAATTACAAATCTTTTCTTATTCATGAGTCTTCGAGTCAATTATATTCCCTTGCAAACAGACTTCAGTTCCCCTTTTCTGCCTGATCAATTTGCTGGCAGACCTGCAGCATTGTTGCTTCAAAGAGGACTTTAAAAGTAAATTTTGGGAAGAAACAATGAGAGTCAAGGTAAAGGGTTTCAGAAAGCTTGTTTCTATGATATCTTCCTTCAACCTTGTGTTATTATGGGCCTTGATTTTGGACTGCACCAGACCCAGTAGGGGAAAGATCCCTTAGATAAAGTAAAAAAGAATATTGATTCCCTTACATAAAAAACATAAAAAAAGAAAAGTTAATGTATAATTTGGTTCATTCTAACTGCATATTCAATTCATTATCATGTATTGATGAATTAAGACAGATCATATAAAAATACAATGAATAATGCATAGCAATGTGTTATTGTGTCTCAGAGACACCTGAAATTGATTTCTGGTTTTCTTCTAATCTGATCAAATATTAACAGATAACAGATGCAATAGAACATGGTAATGCCAAAAATAATTGTCAATTTTTATAAAGGAAACATAGTAAAGACAAATCTGTTTTATATGGAATTTAAAGCATATATCATCTTGGAGCAAGTGTCTATGTGTCATCAAATATTTAACGCACTAAATCACCTCGAATAAAACATTTTTATTCTGTACTCTTCTGAATTCTCGTGTTTGTAAAATCTCCTCACAGCATCTCTCAGCTGTCCAACTCAATCCAGTGTTCCGTCTTCGAGCTCCGTGGCTGCCATCTATTGGTTTGCAATGAGATTGTGTGCCATGCAACAACTTCCTGTTAGTGTGTCTGAGGTTTAACATGTGCGGAGCATGACCAGAACACACAGATCTGCGTGGAATACATCCACCTTTGCTGTTCACTACAAGGCGGAAGGCAACAGAAACGATGCTAATAAACATTAGTAATTCGTGTTAGCCACCACTGTAAATACTCAGAGCTAACACGTGTTTACACCTCCTCCACTCCTGCTATTAGCGCTTCTGAGTAGCTAATCACTGTGATTAGCAACATAACCCATGTGTACTGTACTCGGTGGTTCTCATGTGTCACCTATATACGTTACATGCTAATAAAGAAAACCGTTAGCACTAACTTTTAGCTAACATTAGCCTCTGGACAACGGTTTTCTAAAGATACCATGAGCCTGCTTGGATGAACAAACTTTGCCTCATAAACATATCATAGGAATGAGGCAAAACGTTTAGGTTATTACCTTCGTTCTTCCACCAGTCGTCGCCTAAATCGTCTCCCATATTCCCGAGCTAACGATGCTGCAAATCAAAATAGACCGCTAAAGAAAGTATTTCAGCGATGCGTTTACTGACGCTCGGTAAAAACAGTAAAGGTGCAGTTTAAAAAAGAAAGTCACGCAGTAAACATAAGTATTGGTTATTCACACACTATATTTGCAAAGCCATTAAAGTGTTAATATCCTAAATTTTAGAAAATCATATTTTAAATGAAAAATTATAATTGTTATAAAGGATAACTTGAGGACTGTAAATGTTACAGTTTTGTAGAATAGCTCCTACGTCATAGTACGATATATTATGAGTAAGTTCACTGAAATTTGTACTTTCTGTATTATAAAGCATTTTGCATTTTCTCAAATATATATATATATATATATATATATATATATATATATATATATTATATATATATATATATATATATATATATATATATATATATATATATATAAACAGATCAGTGCCAACATTAATAAAATAAAATTTATATGGAAAAAGAAATTTCATCTAATCTTTAAACAATTCATTCAAAATTACATTTTTTTTTAAATCTTCTAAAAAAAAAAAAAAAATTCTATATGGAATGCTATTCCCATTTACAATTTTGACGAAATTAAAGTATACCCAAAATACCCTTCTAATTATCTACGTTTCACAAACAAATGCTGTTAAGCTAGTCACTTTTAAAAGCACATTTTTTTCCTCATAAATCTTGTATCTGCAATAATGAAGACATTAAATACAAAAACAAGACAATCTTTTATAGAAAATGGTTTGATAGGGGAATATTACTTGTAAGCCAATTGCTAAATCCAAATGGTAATTTATTGTCTTATTCTGACTTTATGTCACTTTTCCAATTTCCTGTTACCCCTAAATAATACGCTGTTGTATTCTGTCGGCAGGTTTCAGCATTTTAAATTAATTTAGGTGGTAATCAACTGTTTCAGAAGAGCGATCACAGCGCTCTGTATCATCAGTCTGTATCGTTTAGTTAGCCTAGCTACTTTGTCAAGTAAAACAAAAGCCAAAAATATAGAGTTAACAGACCTTCCATCTGTACATTAATAACTTTGGCACATGTGATTCAGTAAAACTCCATGAATACAATTTTTTCTTATGTTTCTAACAACAATTGATGATCCACTGTATCAAAGTATTTCTTCTCATCTGTAAAAAAAATTATATAGGGATTAGCTAATCTTTATGAGTAATCTCCTCAACTACATCCATTAAAGCTGTATGTTTTGGAAATCATATTGGTTTTCATTAAGTTAATTATCTTTTTTTAATAAAGCTATCAAGATGAGCTTTAGTAAATATTTTTTAGAATCTTTGAGAACTGAGGTAAAATGGATAAAGGTCTATATATTTGATCATACTTGCCTACCCCCATTTTTGAAAATAGGTACAACTTTTGCAATTTTCATTTGAACTAGGAATATTCTTGTTAAATATGTGTATATGTGAAATAAATCACATATGTATATGATTTGAAAATATTTTTTTCAGTGCCTAAATAGCATAAATTAATCTATGAAATAAGAAATTAATAGAAATCTAAATTTTCCGACCGCAGGGTAAACTATTTATTTTATTTAAAATCATGTCAATGTGAATGTAAACAGCTGGTTGATTGTTCTTGAATTGATTTATAATGTCTATCATTTCTTTAGGAGGTCTGACAAAGGAACTTCAACCGGCCGTTCAAAGTAATGCTGCTTTCACAGCGGACGCAGCAGGCGCAGCAGAAGCAGCGAGTTTACATGCAAAGTCAATGGTTGACGCAGCTCGTTTTGAGCAGCGCGTCTGAGCAGCTGAAGCAGTGCGTCAGGAGCACTTTTGCACCGCGCAGCCAGAGCAGCAAAGCTGCTTCAGCCACACGTCAGAACTGGTACAATCTAAACTGCAGGCACCAGGATAATAAAAGCGAACATATTCTGCTGGCAGATTTCTGCATTTTAAGTTAATTTAGGCGTCGATAAACTGTGGAGTGATCACAGCACTCTGTGTCATCAGTGATGTGTCTGTCTCACGGCCAGCTCCCAGGTTTGATTAATACTTTGTAATAAATACATGAATAAAGCACAGTCCTACTCAGTTTTGCTCCCGCTGTATTTTTAAATACGCAGTAGAGGTATTTAAACGTAGTAGAGGACATGTACCGGTATATAAAACCCGCGCCCTATAGTCTGGTGCGCCTTATGTGTGTGTTAAATACAGAAATGGCACACATAACTGAGACTGCGCCTTGTAGTACGGTGCACCTTATGGTCGTGAAAATACGGTATTTAAATTATTTTTAATACAGCTTTTTCCGATTGGGCGAGGTTTTAAAGTCAATGATGCACAAGGCCCTTTACTTTAAAGATCTGTACCCCTCCCTTTGTTGACAGAGTGCACAACGCTCCTCTAGCGGCTCCATACTCCAGATGGTCAGCTGGAGAGGCTGGCCAAATCATACCATGCTGTATTTCTTTCACTCTATTAGCTGCTATTCATAGCCTACTAGTAAAAATAAAACATGATTTATTTGTTCCCATTTCAGCCACAGACCTTATTGTACTACGTTTAGACCGCAAGTGCTGGAAGCAGCAAAACGTTTCTGCTTGTTCACGTTAAGGTCAGACATGGGTGGAGAGCATCTTTGACACTCCTGAAGCGCCTCCAGCAAAGTGTGTCCAGATGCATCTATGCTTCTGCTGCTTCTGTGTTCAATGACAGAGAGTAACTTTGCTATATTTGCTGTTATAAATGGGTAAAAAGTAGTTCTAATACATTGTTAATTGAGAAAATCCACCTGATAACATCATTTGTGTAGTCAGTTCATCAATATTACGATCCTGCGTTCAAATATGATTTAGCTGTCAGAGCCGCTCAGACCCCATACACCAGGGTGCTCTTTCCCTGGAAATCCCGTTCAACTGCAGCCTCTTGATCGGTCGCCTCTTAGGGATTTTCGGAAGACATTCTTCATGTACGTAATCCAAACTGCAGGCACCAGAATAATAAAATCGAACATATTTTTGCAAATTTTAAGTTAATTTAGGCGTTAATAACTATTTAATAACTGTTTCAGCGGAGTGATCATAGCGTTCGGCATCAGCAGTGCTGTGTCTATATTCCTGCCAGCTCCTAGATCAGCTTCTTTGTTTTTGCTGCGCGTCCCGTGTGTCAGATGCTCAGAAGCTCATGAGGCGCTGCTTCTGCTGCTCAAAATGCGCTACAGGACCTTTTGCTGCACCTTTATATGCATCAACCATTGACTTTGCATGTAAACCAGCTCCTTCTGCTGCCTCTAGTGTGTGAAGGTAGCATTAGTCTGGACTTTGCAGTTTGCTTAGAACTGCAATGATAGAAGGGCATCTATTCATTTTTAAATCCACTGTCTTGATGGCACCAGTTTGGCTAAGTGAAAGTGGAACTTTGTGCAGCAGGCATGTTGTAAGATCCTCACTTATTTCTACACAAAAGCTCTAGATTGGTAAAAAATGCCAGAGAGTTTTTAAATACACATAAGGTAAATCTAAAAAGGATATTTTATTTTACAATCAAGGGGGCAAACACAAGAAGGATATAAAGTGCACAGCATCATTTCGTTTTTAAAATACCAGATCATTTAAAAGTAAAAATTATCTCTCTTTTTCTGGAAGCTGAAATTGGTTGTTTTTACATGTTTCAGTGCAATAATAAACTATAATGACTTGCCAAATGAAGCAGAAATAGCCCACAAACCAGTATTCTACCTTCACAGTGCTATCTTCAACATAAAAACCTAAGGGGTGAGCTGACAAGAGGAAAAGACAAATAATGGTCAAGGATTTCTGTGTGTTTGCTTCAACATTCTGAAAAAGTTAAAGGAGAAGAGAAGCTCTTGGTATTACTCCTGTTGCTTTGTTTGCAGAGCGGTAAAGTTGCTTTTTAATGTTTGCAGAATGTGCAATATAAAGAACTTTACATCCTTTCTCGTTAAGGTTTCAGATGCAAGAAAAGGGGAGGATTTGTTTGGAAGATTTCTCTCTATTCTGCAGCTGTAGTGAGGCGGAGGGACGGATCTCTCTGGTGTAATTGCACGTTTTTTTGTTTTTCTTTCGGAATAACACATTTCTGGTTGAAAGGGGGCATGAGATGTTTGATTAAAGCTTTATTATGAAAAAAACGGGAACAGACTGATTACTGTGGAAATTACAAAGGGCTCAAATGCTTCTTCTGCTTGTGTTGCCATGAAAATGGGAGGGATAAAACAAAGGAAGAGAGAGAGGAAGGATGTATTCAACACAATGTGCTATGGTCTGCAAACTTTCAGGAAGG